AGGGTTTGCAGTTTAAGGACAGTGCTTTCCCACCGATCATATGGACAGCTCTTTGAATTATAACTCTGACTTGTGGAGGTAATGGAAAATTCTAACAAAACTAAGACAGATGCCACAGTTGGACAAAGAGAAGCATAACATGATAGAAGAACACAGTGAGCCACAGTCTACACTGCCTCCAGACATTCTCAAAACTCTTTCACAGTAACCAGAAACACTGGCGCCACTGAAATGAGACTCCCCGCACATTAGAACCGAAGAATTTTGCATCCAAATCAACGTTTCAAAACATCTCCTCTCCTCTGAATTGAGAAATTCAAAAGTTAATTTACAATTTGTCATGTTGGTCAAACCATTCCTGAGCAGTATGAACAAAGCACATTATCCTGCTGAAACCTCTGCATCAATTAGATTAGCGTCGGTGAAATGATGTAGGTGGCCTGTAACTATGTTTAGCAAGTATTACGCTGCAGAGCATCATACTGGCCTTCTTTAAAAGCGAATCATGCAGGCCAGCTCTTCTTTCCAGATAAATGAGACGTGCGCCCGGCCTTTGGCATAACGTCGAAGAAAATGTGATTCACCAGACCAGGCTGCATTCTCCTGCTGCTTCATGGGTCACTTCTGACGCTCGCTTTGCAGCTGCTGAGGGCAGTAGCCAGCATGGGTACTGTGTCACATGGCCAAAGTCTGTGGCTATGCAGCTCCATAAACATTAAGTTGTGATACGCTGTGTTCTTACACGCTTTCAGCACTAGCAATTCTGGGGGATGGAAGAATCGCCAAAAAAGGGCAATTCCTCAAGAAGTAGATCAGATGCTGGGTGCAGCATGGGTGATTTTCTTTTTAAAACTAATCCAACTGAATACTGATAAGGTGTGGCTGTTGTTATTGACAAGTGTGCCAACAGAAGTCTGTCTAGCCAAAAGCTCTCTGCCAATTCCATTTGCTGGACCTCTCCATCACATTTGTTCTTTCGATGCCTGATAATGGAATCACCTGACAAACAACACAGCCTGCTTTGTTTCATGAAAATATGTTTTACTTTGCACTAATGAGCAGATTTGTCTCCCTGTGCATTGCACGCGTTCAGTTTATGAGCCTCGCTTGATAACCAAGCCTGCTAGCTCCAAAAACAGTCACTTCTGGCTCCAAACAACCAATGGGAATGACCCAAATGGTGAAACTGAAGAGTTAAGAAATGAATGGGTGACAGCATAGTGACTATGACCATCTTTTATATACAGTTAACCATACTCATACATTTTCCATTATTCCCAGATCGCAGAGAAATTAAACAGAAAACCATAGACTGACTTAGACAAAGCTAAGATTTTCCATGGTGAATGCCTGTACCTTGTGACTCGGGGGTTTCAATCTGGGAGGGCTGGTTCTTCTCTCTCCTCCTCTGCTTCTCATCCTCCCAGATGGCCTGCAGACCAGGATTCCTGCCAATTTGATCTGGAAAAAAATGGAGAATTAAGCACAAAAATACTCAAACTCTGTACCCTCAAACACGGTGTTTATATAAAGCTGTGCTTAACAACATCAACTCATAAAGTTGTTTTTAACTGCAAGAACTACTGCATAGTTTTTTGCACATGTTTCCACAGCAGGACTTCTGCTTTGTCTGTATAGCAGTCATTACACAGTCATGCAGCTCCAACACCGCAATTAAAGAAATAATGTGGAAAGAAGATGAGGTACAGAGTCATTATTTCATCCAAAACCTGCAGCCTTAAAATAGGAAGCAGGAAGAACAAAAGCAGTGGGCATCTTTACACACATATCACAATAACAGCTTTATCAACACACAGATAACTTGCACCTGACAATACACATCCTACACATCCCACAGACCAGTTATTATATACCAATATTATGTTAATAGGGTGAAGCAGTGATTCTCTGGATAATTTTTCCAGAGAATGGTTAACCTCACCTCCAAGCCCCACTCTCTCTTTAACCCTTACATCTAAACTTATCAGTTCTCATTCAGTCACATTGTTAGGACTTTCCACAGAACTTTCTGAAATCTTCTAGTCCTAATCTGCCTAATCTTTGCTGTTTTTAAGACACAAGCAAAGCTTAGAAGGAATCTTCTAGCTCCCAGGAAAATAAAGTTCCTGAGAAAAAGCCCTGGCTTTACAAACTGTAATAGTTCATAAGTGCAGAACACACGCACTTGTTGTCTATCACGGCCTCTCTTTTCACTTTAAGACAGATTCTTTCTGTGGTTTAAGCTTGTTAGGTCCCATCTGATTTCAATGATAAAACTCAAAGCATCTTTACAACCCAGATGGAAGGACTGCTTTTAAGACAACACAATGTTCAGCAAAACTGGCACCGCTCAGATTGTAAGTGCAAGAATGACCTCTCTTTCTTTCTTTCACACGCTAAAACAACAGATCCAGATGTGTGCGATTAAAACAAATCTTTCAGGAACAAAAGCTGCATCTGCTCTGGCACTACATTACTTTGCCAGATGACAGCATCTGTCTTTATTGTCCCTGGTTCGTTTTAACCCTTTATCCCATCCTCTGTACGTCTAGCTGCTCCCCTGTGATTGGATGGATTAGGTCAGATCCACGATGTTTGTATTTGGGGCCGATAAAAGATTCGATGTGTGGCAGCCGTCAGAGCAGTCCATCACTCTTCTGTGCTTTAACTTGAATTTCACTTTCCCCCACCCGTTGCTTTCTTAAGTTTGTGGCTGCAATACTGAGTGAACTTACTTTCGATTTCGAGGCGGTTGAGAACATCCACAGCAACAGCATCAACCTCCAGCTCACAGGTGCTCTGCCTCTCCACCTCATCCAGGACTAAAGAGCTACAGTCAGTGAACATAAAAAAAAAAAAAAAGGGGGGGGGGGGGGAAATAAATGAATAAAAACAAGCTACCATTTTGGTTTTCAATTATCTTTACGGAGAACTAATATCCACTGCAGCTCGGACATAAGCCAAAAACAGTGCATTCAGATTCTGCTTAGACTAAGATGTGGAGAGACTCGCCTGGGTATGGCGTTCTCCTCCCAGCGGACGAATGTGCCTCCTATGGTGCTGTCGTTGAGCTTGGACGTACAGGGAGCCTTCCAGGGGCTGATGCTCCTGAACGCCGATCCTTCTGGGTCTGCCTTTGCTTCATCTGTTAACCACATACAGAGATGTACATAAGAGGCACATGAGAGGATCACAGTAACGGTATTTGGATAACCACAGGGTTTTCATTTCATGCAGATTGATTAACTGCTCAGTGCTGCCATTTCTTAGCAATTAAACTGCGATCCACACTGTTAGAGAATCTGAGGTATAATGAATCATGATTATCCTCCTTTCTTTAATGCAGCAAAGGTAGGCACAATAAAACATTGTTTTGTTACATGGAGAGTTCTTTTGGTACCTGTGACACTTTTTAATCTCAGTATTTAGGAGGCCAGAGTGTTCAAGTTGTTGAATGGACTTCAAAACACATTAAGGGTTTCATTTATCTTGAATTGGCCCATTTTACCAGCTCAGTCTATTATTATTCTGCTGCTTGATCCCAGATTAGGAACTTCCTTTCAAGTTGGACATTGAGGGGAGCAGAAAATGTAAACTGGTGTACCCATTATTGGAGCATTTTGGTTTCTTTGTTGTAAGGGGAACACTGGAGCCTTTTCCATTGATTGCATCAGTGTAGAGGTGGATCAAACACGGGAACTGTGCTTTTGTTGGAGGACAGTCAGGCGTGAGGACTTCTATAAAAGAACTTTATTAAAAGAACAAGTGTGGAATTTCCTGTCTTTAATGGCCTCACAAGTGAAGGTGGTCCTGCTGGGCGGGATGCTCTCTGGGAGTGTGGAGAGAGGTCTGATTGGGAACGACGACCAGAAGGCTGAGTTTAGGCCTAAACTCAGATCAAACAGAGTTGGCAATCAGGGGTTTTAGTGCCTACGAGGGGCGAGAGGAGTTGGGTAAGATTCACCAAAGATCTGAAGAGAAACCCCCAGCGTGACACTACCACTGTGAGGTCCAAGACACTGCTGAGCTTCAAGCCCACACACTACCACCTCTCTCCAGGGGTTACGTGAAGCAGATCAATACAGAGATATCAAGAGTTCAGCTCACTGTAGCACAAATCATAGATACATGTAGGTCCATAAGCTTTGGAGAAAGACACATTTTTTTGGTTCTTCAGACTTTATTTGTTTATATACCGCTTTGTATTTGATGACTAGATATTATTCAGCTCCTGCTCTCTTCCACAGTGTCTCTTCTGTCCCGTCTCCCTCCTCTCACCCCGAACCTGTTGCAGCAGATGACCGCTGTTTTGCAAGCCTGGTCACACCACAGGTTTCTTTTTGTTAAAAGGGAATTTTTCCTTCCCTTGCTGCCAACACAAATACAGGGCTATAAAAATTAAGCTAATGAAATTTCTAAACGCTTGCAGTTCTTCTAATGACCACTAGAGACGGAGTCAATCCCCATAGACACCCATGTAAAGTTATCAAACTTTACAGCATTAAAAGCTTTTGAGAAGCCAGTATAATATTTTATAATCTGGGTGAAAGCTGTAGCTAGCAGTAGCTAGCAGCCCTCTGTGCTTCATTTTATGTGAAATTCTATTTCATTAGTCTGTTAGTTAGCAATAATTAGCACGTATGTGTGTCTCTGTGATGCACCTGTACATTTTATGGATGTAGCTTGATAAGATAACTAGCAGTAGCTGAAGACGTAGGTCACCACCTTGTCATCCAAATAGTCACTTCTGGCTCCCAAAATATATAAATAAATAGATTTATGTTAAAAAAACCAAAATCATGGTGGCAGTGAAAATTCCCCCCCCACGAGTCGTCCGATGCAGACTGCAGAACCCAACAGGAAACTGGTTCTTATGTTATCTAAATTAAACAGCCACATCAGTCAGCTGTGTACTTCTCTGCTAAGCGGATAATGGCAAAAGTAAACTACAAACTTGATGGTAGCCGGTGAAGAAAAAGGAGGAAATACTGTTTTTCACATTGGTCAAACGCCACTTCATGTGTAAGAAGACACAAAGAAAGACAGAAGCAATGAACATCATTCAAACCTGTTGTAATTCTACAGGGTAAATGGTTTATTTTTATAGAGCTGCTTGCAGTGTGGCTAATATTAGATAAAGACAGCATGAAAAGTGTCTCCCATGTTTTGCTTGTTCACAGACTGTCACATCCAACTTCTGCTATGTATTCACCTTATAAATCAAACAGGAGCCAAAACCTAGAGCAGCTGCAGCAGGTGTCTAATCTGTTACTCTGTAGATGTGACACGGCTCCACAGGCTACAGGGAGCTCAGACAAATAAAATGAAGAGTCAGACTGCGGGCTACTGATCCCCAGTATCTGCTTGCCATTCCTGTCCTCATACTTTCCCACTTATAACTTTCATATGGAGGTATGCGTCCTCTGTATTTCACCTTTGGCCATTAACGAAAGGAACAAGACAGAAAGAAAGACAAAGAGGTCAGAAAAAGAAAGTTCAGAGAGAAAGAGAGAGAAAAGAGCAAAGACCACAAGACAAAACGTGAAGGGAAACGTGAGGACAACATTAGGGATGAAAACAGAGAAAAAGACAACAGAGGCATCCTGAGGCTGAGGGGAGATCAAGACTAATTCAATATGACATAAGGCATGGAAACCCTTCCCTGGCCTGCTCTCATCCCTGCCGAGCAATGAGGGAACAATCAAGTAATGAGTTAAAAAAAAAAAAAATCTATGGGTTTTTCCAAGTATGAGGAAAATGTACTACAATCAGATGCTAAAATTAGATTTTGATGACAAGGCACAAAGAAAAAACAGAGAAAATTCAAACAAAAAAAGAGAAGAAGACAAGATCGGAAATCTGTGCTCTCCCTGCCCAAATTCCTTACCTTTTTTCTGGCCGCTTCGAAACTTGACAGCTGCCAGGTTAACCAGGTTCATGCCGTACAGGTTGTAGTCTATGAAAAGCTGCAGCAGGTAGGGGATGTGGCCCTCATGAGGCTGGTAACTCTTGTTCATCACGGCTCCGCTTTGCAGCAGCTCGCACACTCTGCAGCAAGCACAGATTGCTCCATTTAAAATAAAAAGATACATGTGCCACTTGGTGTTTAAAGAAAAAACATTCAACCGCTTACACACAACTGAACAAATGCTCCCCCAGCTCGAGAGAAAGCGGTTTTGGTGGAGACCAGACACAACTGCGGTCTGCCTTGAAATCAAGGATTGCTACAAGTTGTATCTGATCAAGTTTTCTCAGCAAAGCTTAATCATTTTGTTCCTTTTTGCTCTGAGGGCATGCTCTGAGGATGAGAGAGAGATCACAGAGATGTCATACCACATTTTTATCAAGCTGCACAGCAGAGGCCAAAATGTCAAGGACTGGCTCATATCTACATTACCCCACTGTGAAATTAGGAATGTTTAACTACACAAGCTTCAGAAAATCAAGCACATTGATGTTTGAGACAGGCTCCAAGTACATGTAAAGTGGGGCTAGTAAATTCAGTTTCACTTAGGCCCAGAATTTTAGTTTATTGGCATGCTTTAATTTAATATAAAATGTCTACATCTTCATATACACTTTAGTCCACATACAGCCCCAAGAAAAGTTTAAATGTTTAGAAGCTTTACCATTCAGTCATACGAAGACAGAGAATTACTGATTTGTCTATACAAAGGCTTCCATACAGGCCCCTCTTACATAGTCTGAATATGACAACTACTGGAAATACTGGGTAGTTAATCTAATCAAACTTTACTTAATCAGTGAGTGAAACTCTTGAGATTTACAATCTCTTTTCCAAGAGTGTCCGGGGCTAACATCGGCAGCATTAACCTTGCATGTTTTCCAAAGGCAGGAGAAACAACAGTTCTTAGAGAAAATGGGGGAACATGCAGACTCCACATACAGGGAGTGCAGAATTATTAGGCAAATGAGTATTTTGTCCACATCATCCTCTTCATGCATGTTGTCTTACTCCAAGCTGTATAGGCTCGAAAGCCTACTACCAATTAAGCATATTAGGTGATGTGCATCTCTGTAATGAGAAGGGGTGTGGTCTAATGACATCAACACCCTATATCAGGTGTGCATAATTATTAGGCAACGTCCTTTCCTTTGGCAAAATGGGTCAAAAGAAGGACTTGACAGGCTCAGAAAAGTCAAAAATAGTGAGATATCTTGCAGAGGGATGCAGCAGTCTCAAAATTGCAAAGCTTCTGAAGCGTGATCATCGAACAATCAAGCGTTTCATTCAAAATAGTCAACAGGGTCGCAAGAAGCGTGTGGAAAAACCAAGGCGCAAAATAACTGCCCATGAACTGAGAAAAGTCAAGCGTGCAGCTGCCAAGATGCCACTTGCCACCAGTTTGGCCATATTTCAGAGCTGCAACATCACTGGAGTGCCCAAAAGCACAAGGTGTGCAATACTCAGAGACATGGCCAAGGAAAGAAAGGCTGAAAGCCACCACTGAACAAGACACACAAGCTGAAACGTCAAGACTGGGCCAAGAAATATCTCAAGACCGGTTTTTCTAAGGTTTTATGGACTGATGAAATGAGAGTGAGTCTTGATGGGCCAGATGGATGGGCCCGTGGCTGGATTGGTAAAGGGCAGAGAGCTCCAGTCCGACTCAGACGCCAGCAAGGTGGAGGTGGAGTACTGGTTTGGGCTGGTATCATCAAAGATGAGCTTGTGGGGCCTTTTCGGGTTGAGGATGGAGTCAAGCTCAACTCCCAATCCTACTGCCAGTTTCTGGAAGACACCTTCTTCAAGCAGTGGTACAGGAAGAAGTCTGCATCCTTCAAGAAAAACATGATTTTCATGCAGGACAATGCTCCATCACACGCGTCCAAGTACTCCACAGCGTGGCTGGCAAGAAAGGGTATAAAAGAAGAAAAACTAATGACATGGCCTCCTTGTTCACCTGATCTGAACCCCATTGAGAACCTGTGGTCCATCATCAAATGTGAGATTTACAAGGAGGGAAAACAGTACACCTCTCTGAACAGTGTCTGGGAGGCTGTGGTTGCTGCTGCACGCAATGTTGATGGTGAACAGATCAAAACACTGACAGAATCCATGGATGGCAGGCTTTTGAGTGTCCTTGCAAAGAAAGGTGGCTATATTGGTCGCTGATTTGTTTTTGTTTTGTTTTTGAATGTCAGAAATGTATATTTGTGAATGTGGAGATGTTATATTGGTTTCACTGGTAAAAATAAATAATTGAAATGGGTATATATTTGTTTTTTGTTAAGTTGCCTAATAATTATGCACAGTAATAGTCACCTGCACACACAGATATCCCCCTAAAATAGCTCAAACTAAAAACTACTTCCAAAAACATTCAGCTTTGATATTAATGAGTTTTTTGGGTTCATTGAGAACATGGTTGTTGTTCAATAATAAAATTATTCCTCAAAAATACAACTTGCCTAATAATTCTGCACTCCCTGTACAAAGACCCCAAGTGGGTTTGAACCCAGGATGAACGCTAAGCCACTGTATAGCCCAGTGGTTCCCAAACTTTTTTCGCTAGGCCCCCCTTTGTTTTACAAGAAAAATGCTCGCCTCGCCCCCTGCGCGCGCGCACACACACACGCACGCACAAACACATCCTCCAATCACACACGCCCATATTTTGCTCCATTGCGGTTTATTTCACACCTCAAACATTTAGTAAACAATTAAGCAAATACAAGTAATCTGCAATAAATTACAGGTAGTAAGAAAATAAACTACTAACTCTTTTACGCTACGTCCGCACCTACACGGGTATTTTTGAAAACGCAGCTGTTTCTATGCGTTTGGACCTTTCGTCCACACGTAAACGGCGTTTCGAATCACCAAAAACTGAGATTTTTTAAAACTCCTTTTTTTGCCTTTACGTGTGGACGAGGAATACAGAGTTCGTCACGCAACGTTAAAGGTATGCGCCTTTTTTCACGTCACGCTGTGCGCCACGTTATTGTTTACATGACATGAATTGCAGAATGGCAGATAGAGACAAAATACTGTTAATCTGACTATCTTCAGGTTTTACACGCTTACACATGCAGTTACTGTCCCTCCATTTAGAAAGGCAGAGGCGTCATGGTGTAATTTGTTTTTTTTCCTGTGTAATAATATTCAACATTGCTATCAATACATTTTTCAAAAAATGTCTCTCTGCAAAAAAGGGGTAAAAAAAAAAAAACAAACAGCTGTGGGATCCTGTTTGTCCGCAATTTGAACCGGGGGAACAAATCATGGCAGGATCAGCCTGATATTATTTGTATCCCACTGTAACTTTACTGTATAAAGAGCTAACATCTCCAAAATGTCAGGAGTAGTTAGTCATTACAACAAGTGTTTGTGAACTAAAAATCAAGAATGTGGGACACTGTTTGTCCCTGATTTGGAGAGCCCAGCGCGTGCTCTCGACGAAGGGAAAACCAACTCTGCAGGGGAGACCTACCTTGGCACTTGTGCAGGTGAAGCCAAAGGGCAGATATGCTTCACCATATTTTCTAGTCTTTGGCTTAGAATGAAGTTGGTTTGGAAACATATTCAGCAATGCTTCATCTCCTGCTTTGCGTTTGTGGAGGCGCCCCGTGCTAGCAGCGTCCAAGCGTTGTTTTTTGTCGTTGTTTTTTTCCCCCCTTTCATACCGCGCCGGCCCCACACTTTGGGAAGGTCTGGTATAGCCTAAATATATATATTCACATCCAAACATACATGTAATTACAAATAAAATTTGCAGTTTCACCTTAAAAAAAATTAATTTTGACACCTGGCAAAAATGCAACCAAACCTTAAACATACTTACACACATACAAGGCCAGTCTACTTTTCCACCTTCCTTCCTTCACCCCACCCCTCCCCTCCCAGCGATACATCATTCGTTCCTCCAGCCTGTCCCTCTCTCTCTAACAGAGTTACTCGCTCTCTGCCAAGCCTCAAATCAGTAGCTCCACTCACACTTTCAACACCAACACTGATCACTCTGGCAAATAATTCACAGTCTTCCCGTGTGCTTTCATGCATGGACACACACTCAGCCAATCAATGAGTACAGCTGAATACGCAGCGATCGATTTCAGTTTAGTAAGCTGGCAGACTCGTGCGCACAGTGTGGCATTCAAACAACAGGAGGCTGGGATGATCTCTGTTCACATTAAACTGCTTCGATCCTTACCTCTTGACCATCTGAGGATTGTATAAATAGATCTTCATAAAGAGCTTCTCCTTGGCGTGATAACCATAGTAAGGCCTGAAAGAAAAGAAGAAGAAAAAAGGCATTCAATATGTAAACCTGCATCACATACACATGTTAAAGTAATGTATACATACACATATAGACAGGTCACAGAAAGTAAAGGTTCTCTGGTGCACAGTGGTGCTTGTCCATGCAGAGCTCTAAAAGCTAAAACCACAATCTTAAAGTGGACTCTGAACCTGACGAGAGTCTGAGTAACTGAATTAGCAATAATGTGACATGAAAGTTTCAGATATACGTATTC